AAAAAACAGAGCAGGAACCTTGTACACAACAGAGCTTCAAATTAAACAGATCAGATGGGCTGGGCTGCCCGACCTTTCCCCAAAAGCCCCATGAGCTCTTCAAGGTCATAGACAGTATGTGGGCTCTGGGTTGCACCAGATCAGCAAGGCCAACTGTGTATATATCTTCCCAACTTTATGTTCTGTGGCTTGACATTGGCCACATTGGGAGTGTTTACACCATGGAAATTGGCAAAAGCTGCAAGGCTGGGAACTCCCACCCCTGAGAATCAGCAGCACAGCATTGACACAGGCTTTCTTGAGACTATCATGTAAGCTATAAAGCTTCCCCCAAGAAAGGTACACAAGGTTTACATATACTTTCAGGGAACGTGTGGTCCTCTGAAACCTTATGATGGACTCCAAATTCAGAACCACCATCCTTTAGCCATTACGTGTCTCTCACATGGAAAAGGAAAGGCAATGAGAATATGAGCCAACAACTGGGCCAAGGATTTGAAATATTTTATGCCTAAAACACATTGTGTGTCTTTGGTAAGCATGACATGTCACCACTTTAAAGATGAGGACACGGAAGCCCAGACAGGTAATGTATCTTGTCCGAGACTGCACAACTATTAAGTGACTGAGTTAAGATTTGAACTAAGGACTCCCCATCTGGACAGTTTGTTTCTGTTCACTATACCACTTCTAGTGATATCTCAGCTTCACATGTGTGTGAAAACTGGGCAGTGAGTAAGGCGGACCGAAGAAGAGTTGATGTCTTTGAATTGTGTTGGCGAAGAATACCGAAAATACCATGGACTGTCAGAAGAACTAACACATCTGTCCTGGAAAAAAACTAACACATCTGTCCTGGAAGAAGTGCAGCATAGAATGCCATAGAGTGCTCCTTAGAAGCGAGAATGGCCAGACTTTGTCTCACCTACTTTTGTCATGTTGTCAGAAGGGACCATTCCCTGGAGAAGGATATCATGCTTGGTAAAGTGGAGGGTCAGAGAAAAAGGGGAAGGCCCTCAATGAGATGGATTGACACAGTGACTGCAATGATAGGCTCAAGTATATAGCAAGGATTGTGAGGATGGCACATGACCAGGCAGTGTTTTGTTCCATTGTACATAGGGTCACTATGAGTTGGAGGCAACTCGATGGCACCTAACAACAACATACCACTTCCACCACCACCTGTCTGTAGTTTGTCATATGTAGACATTGCTGTGATGCTGGAAACCATGTCACTGATATTTCAAATACTGGCAGGGTCACCCATGGTGACCAGGTTTCAGCAGAGCTTCCCCAGGTCATCACCCAGAAGTTACATGGATGATAAACTTCCCCAGCCTGGTCCTCTGCTAGAGCTCACGTGTCAGTGCATCATGTATGTCACAGTACATCATGGTGCTCAGCAGAGGGCAAGCATGTCCACTTCACAGATGAGGAAACAGGGAGGCAGGGAAGTCCAGTAACGTGCCAGAGTTGCCCAGCTTGAAGGTGAAGGAGCCTGGACTCAACTCTGGTCACCCCAAGCCCTCCTGCCTTGCCTTAACCTCCTGCTTCCTGGAAACGTCCCTTCTGACCTGACCTTGCTGTTCAACTTGCTGTGTGTCTCTGGACAAGTCAGAGGACCTCTCTGGACTTGATTCTTCTAATCTGTGAAATTAGAGGTTGTCTCTGACATCCCTTCCAGCTTTCCCACTTCTCTCAAGCTCACAACATTCTCTCTGATGGCCTCCTTGTCCCATAGACCCCCAGTGCCAGCTCCAGTTCAGTCAATTCAAACCACTGGCATGGCTTCTAGACCTGCCTTCTGTTGCCTGCTGCATACAAGACATTCACCCATTCACCTCAGTCACTGAAGGTGTGTTTATTGAACACCTACTTACTATGTTCCAGGCACTGTGCTAGTGTTGACTACAAGGATAATGTCAACCTTGAAGAGTTCTGAAGGTGAGAATTATACAGAACCAAAGGGGAGTACCATGACTAGCAAGAGAGGGCCCTCAAAGTATAGGTTATCTTTATATATTGCTTTTTTTTCCCCTCTAGAAAATGGTAGACAAATATTCAATGAAACTATGCATTTCACAAGGCGCTCTGGCAGTGTAGTGGCTAAGGCATTTGACTGCTAACCTTCTGGTTAGCAGTTCAAACCCAGCAGCCACTCTGTGGAAGGAAGACTGGGCAATCCACTTCTATAAAGATTTACCACCTTGGAAACCTAAAGGGGGTAGCTAAGAGTCAGAATTGACTCGATGGCGGTGAATTTCGTTTGGTTGGTTTATGCATTTCACAGGTGAAGTGTGGTCAGAAGGCCATTGTCTTGGAAAGTGCTTCTGAGGGCTGTTTCATGAGAATTCAGTGTGCAGCTTCCAGCGATAGATGTGCCCTGGATCTCCACCTAAAGGCCACTAGACTCAAAGCCTTGCTGAACCCCAACTAAAGGAGGCACCACACAGGGAGGGACGTCTCCATTGGGAGGGGAATGTTGAAAGCTCATTTGGTGCTTCCAGTGGTTTAGTATTGCTTTAACTTTTGCTCCTCTTCCCATCTGCTTTCCCAGCCTGGAACTGCTGGCAGACGTGCAGTACGCCCTGGGACTCCCTTTCCACCCGGCCCACGAGGGGACGTTCACTCAGGAGGAGAAAAGCCTGTCACTAAAAGTCATGCAGTACTTTTCCAACTTCATCAGATCTGGGTGAGTGCCCCAAATTCTGTCATCACAGTTCCCTCCTGCAATCTGGACACAGAAGCCACATTTTACAGATGCATCCTTTCCCCACAGAGATGGCAGTTGGCTCCCCTGAGTCCCCTGTGTCCATCTCCTCTATGAGTCAAAGTCACCTTTGTGTCCCACAGTCTCCATGAAGAAGAGCTCTGGTCACACCACTCCCTTGTGGAACCACATTCAATCGTTCTGGTGCAGGGTCTCGGCCTTGGCACAGTTACACAGGGGCTGGGTAATTCTTCGTCGTTGCCTGTCCTGCGCATTATAAAATGCCTAGTAGCATCCCTGGCCTCTACCCATTCTATGCCAGTAGCACCTCCCCTCCCTCTCCCCATAGCTGTGAGAACCAAAAATGTGTCAGATATTGTCAAATGTCCCCTGGGGGACACAGTGACCCCGAGTTGGAAACCACTGTTTTAGATCATCAAATTAGTTAAAATGCTCAAAACCAAACCAAACCAACTGCCCTCAAGTCATTTCTGACTCTCAGTGACTGTTGTGGTTACCTAGTGCTGCTCTGACAAGAATATATACCACAAATGGGATGCCCTTATCAAACAGGAGTTTATTCTCTTATGGTTCTGGAGGCTTTAAGTCCAAGTTCAAGTGCCAGGCTCTAGGGGCTGGGTGAAAGCCCCTTGACCTTGGGCTTCCACTCTGCCTCTTGCTCCTGGCCCACTGAAGCTAGAGGCATCTATTCACTCAGGCAGCTACTGGCTGCTGAAGCTAACAAGCCCAAGGTCAATAAATAAAATGGCACAGTCCTGATGCTAACAAACCACACGGCAGGCCATCAATTCAAGTCCATTGAAAGTCCCCAGGTCAGCAGAGCATGGCAGGCTGCTGAACAACGACACAGCTACATGCAGGGTTCAAATGTGCCATAAGCCAGAGACCATTCCCAAAGCTGCTTCTTATATATGGGAAGCAGACCACGTACCCAAAGCAGCTACTCAGCTGCTCCAATACATTCCACCATGGAGTTAATTACCACTGTTACCATGGGAAATAACGACCACCAACTGCCCGGCCTCTCAACCAGGCCCAGCTAAGTTGACACCCAGACGTAACCACTGCAGTGACCCTATAGATGTCAGAGCCGAACGGGGCCCCGTCAGGTTTTCAGTGGCTGACTTCTCAGTAGGTCACCAGGCCTTTCTCCCAGGGTGCCTCTGGGCGGACTTGAATCCCCAGCCTTCCATTTCATAGCTGAACGCATTAACCCTTCGCACCACCCAGGACTTTGATAAAAGGACCCCAAACCAAAGGCCTTTTGCCATTGAGTCAGTTCTGACTCATCAACTCGATGCCCCATAAGATCTCCAAGGCTGTAAGCCTTTACAGAAGCAGACTACCTCGTCTTTCTCCTGCAGAGTGGCTGATGGGTTCAAACCACTGACCTTTTAGTTAGCAGCTGAATGTTTTAACCACTGCTGCATCAGAGCTCCTTGATAAAAGGACCAGAACCAAAAGCCAAACTCACTGCCGTCAAGTTGATCCAACTCTAGGAAGTAGATTGCCCAGTCCTCCTTCCAGGGAGTGGCTGGTGGGTTTGAACCGCCAGCCTTCCGGTTGGCAGTCAGATGCGTTAGGCACTGTGCCACCAGAGCAGAAGTGGACACCATGACCTTGTGAGCATCAGAAAGACAGAGGGCAATACTAGGTTGTGAACAACACTGCTGGGTCCTGAGTTCATGCCTCCCGTTTCCAGAAATGGCCTGGCAGTGGTGCATTCAGGAGCCTGTACCCCTTTCAGCAGCTGCGAGCATGACCCATGAAGCCGGGCTGTGTGGGTCCCAATCCTGCTGTGACCCTTATAGATACCTGATGTTAGTCCTCAGACACCAAGTGATCCCAGTGGAAAAAGGAAAAACAAATTTGCCTCATGGTCTTTATTCTCATCTTCCAGAAATCCCAACTACCCTCATGAGTTCTCCCGGAGAGCACCGGAGTTCGCAGCCCCTTGGCCCAACTTCCTCCCGCATGCGGATGGAGAGAACTACAAGGAGCTCAGCTCCACGCTCCCCACTCGGCAGAGCCTGAAGGAAGCTGACTGCTCCTTCTGGTCCAAGTACATCCAGTCTCTGAAGGCGTCAGCAGGTAGTGCAACCAAGAGCAGGGCCAGAGCAGAGGGTGGGAGGGGTAGTGCTGATTCTTCAGTTTTGAAGAGCCCTCTGCCTTGTACACTGGGTGTAAATCCAAGGCCCCTTTCCAGAAAGAGCTCAGAGTCTGGGTGACTACTCTTTGCCAAGGGCCTTGGGTTCTGATGGGAGGCAGGAGGCATTACAAGGAGAGAGGTACAGAGAGAAGTCAGGGGGTCAGAGGGAGGAGGGTGGAGTGGGAAGCCAACATCAGGGCTTTGAGCCTGGAAGATTGGTTTGGAAAGAGATGGTAGGGATCTCAAACCTCACCCTTGCAGCCCTTGAAGGGCTGGATAAAGTCCTAGGGAGGGATTCTAGCCAGGAGCAAAGTGGGCATTGCCACCATTTCCTGTTGAAGAGAACTTGTTTTGCCTATAAACCAACCAAGCCATTGAGTTGACACCAACTTATGGTGAACCCACATGTGTCACAGTAGAACTGTGCTCCCAAGGGTTTTCAAAGGCTGATTTTTCAGAAGTAGCTTATCAGGCCTTTCTTTCAAAGTGCCTCTGGGTAGACTCGCACCTCCAACCTTTTGGTTTGAATACCTCAGGGCATCCTTGGCTTGTCCATAGCGGAGATACTAAGGAGAAAAAGTGAGCATAGGAAGGCACTGGGCATGTGGGAAGGAGCACAATGGGCTCCAGAGGAGTGTGGAGTGAGTCCACAACCCAGTAAACGCTCTGAAGGATGGAGGTCTGCCCCCAAGCCAATGGGCACCCAAAGTGGGGATGGGTCACCTGTCCCTGGAGGGACTGGGAAGGCTCCCAGGGGACGTGATGCTGAGGTTGAGGTTCTCAGAATGACAGGTGTCCTTCAGGTAGGGGGGGATGAGAGTGGGACATTAAGCAGGGGAGTGACCTTGTCCAATGTATATTTTAGAATCTTGACTCTGCCTTTAGCTTCCAGGGCCAAGTGGCTCTCTGGCGATCAACCCAATCCCATTGTACCCTTAGTAGGTCCCTGTGGCCAGGGGTGACTCTGGTGCCCCCACTCCCTGAAATGTCCCTCTGTAGGACATTGGTAGCTGGGATGTCTGTGGGCCACAAGGAGCTGGACTAGGAAGGGGAACTCATAACTATACTGGAGCCTCCTTCCCATGGCCCTCTTCTTTCAGATGGAGCCAAGGACCCACAGTCAGCCAAGGGTGAAGAGGAGGTATTGCCAGCAGACACTGGGCTGAGTGAAGACCTCCCAGAGCCAGGCTCCAAGACCTATAGCAAGTGACCAGCCTCTGAGACCTACCCTGCCTACAGGCTGGTCACCACATGCCAGCCCCACCCCAGACTCTCAGCTGCCTACTCTGGGCACCTTGCTCCCTAAAAGAGCCACTTGGCTTCAATAAAGCTCCTACATGCAGTGAAACATTGCTGACTCTGACTTGTTCATTCAAGACAATCCTTGGGCAGTACCCAGGCATGTCTTCACCTCACTGAAGTCTGTCTCCTTTCACCAAATATTCCTGAGCATCTTCTGTGTACCAGGCCTGGCCTGGATGCTGGGGAAGTGAGGCCCTGCTTTCTAGAAGGAGAGAAAGGCAGGTGAGTGGAGGTTTACAGCCACACGGGAAATGGGGATCCATCAGGGGCAGGCCCAGAGAGACAGCCCACCTGTGTGCTAGAAAGGATTTAGTCCAGAAGATTCCAGAACGGTGGTGAGCAACTAACTCGAGCTGGACCAATATCCTAGCAAGAAGCAATGGGGTCTGAATTAAGGCAGTGAGGGTGGAGGTGGGGGAAGGGACAGATACCAGTACCCTCTAGGAGGTGAATCAGTGAGACTTGATTGAATGTGAGGGGCCGGGTGCAAGGAGATGGAGTTACCCCAGAGTCAGGTTGATTTGTGTCCCAGATAAGCAACTGATTGTATCATTCACTTATGAAGGCAATGCTTTGGCTTGAAACTCAATCTCTCTCTCTCTCTCTCTCTCTTTCTATCTCTCTCTCACACACACACACACACACACACCACACACACTTCAAAGCAAAAGTAAGGGTAGGGGGTAGTGAATAGTCCCTGCCATTTAGTTGGTGTTGATCTGTAGGTTGAGGTTATCATGTCCATTTCGCTGATGTGGAAGGTGAGATGATGTAGTAAAGTTACACAGGGAGCAGTTGGGGGATCAGAGAGTCTAACCCCACTCTCCTGACTATTCTGTTGCTTGCATGGATTTCAGTCAGCCCAGAGCCACCCTGCATGTCCTCCACAATCTACTGATAGCAGTGAAAGCCCCAAGTAGCCTCTAACTTGCATTATACACTCTGTTAGTTAGGATGGTTCAGTGCAAGTAACTGAACGCCCAACTAAAGGGCCTTAACCAAAGGGTACTCCCAGAGGTACATGGTCCTTTCATTGGTAAGCAGCTCATGTCCTCATGGACCTAGACTCTTTCCAGCCATGCCCTTTGCCATCTTCAAAGCATGGATGATGTCTCACTTAATTGACACAATGTGGTTGCCACCTCTCCAAACATCACATCCTTTCCTGACAGCATCTTGTGCTGGAAGCAAGAGGTCCAGGGGCCATGGGGCCTTCTCCTCCAGTGCTTCATTTTTTTCTTGGAGGCAATTTTTTCCCCAGAAGTTCCCAGAAGCCCCCTTACATGTCCTTGGCCAGAACTGACTCATGTGCCCACTTTTAGACCCGCAGAGAATGGGCTTTCCGTGAGGTGCTTAGACCAGGCAGCGCTTCGGCCGGGCTGCAGTCAGCAGAGATGGAGGGGAGACGGTTATTGGGTAGACAACTGATAGTCTCGAACACATCATTAACCCCTCTCCCAAGACCACAAAGCGCTGATCCCCACCGACCCCATCCCTGAAGCCATCCTTGCTCAGCCACAGCGGAGCCCGGCCTGAGACCCGTTTTACTCCTTCAGTTCAGAGTGAGCTGTATGTAAAGTCACGTGCTGTGTTTGGAGGTGAGAAGGGGGGCTCTGGCCACACAGGTCTCGGGTCATCACGGGGTCATGCTGATGCTCTTAATCCCGGCTGAGACTCCCTGGGCTGCTGTGTCTCGGAGCCACGGCACCACGAGCAGTGCTCTGTCTTCCCGTCATCCTGAGCAGCTGTGCTCAGCGAGGACCAGAGATGGAGGGTGGGCGGGACTAGAGCTGGAGGGCTGGGCTGGGCTGCCCCACTCACAACTGCCCTGAGAGCTCCCTGGGCTCTGACGGTCTGAGGGGAAGGGAGGAAGGGGCCACCACGGGCTGAGGCCTCCCGTGTCCAGAGGCCCTTCTGCACAGCTCGCTCCACAACGGGGCCCTGGGAGTAGCAGGAGCACCGTTGACCGGTCTCCCTCCTGTCCCAGCCTCCATCCCATGAGCGCTGACTCATTTTTATCCCCCAAGCGAAAGCCTGTTCCTCTGTTACCATGAGGAAGCAGACACCTGGGATCCAGCCACGGAAGCTTTGTTCCTTTGCTTTCCACCCCAGTCTCTAGTTGGGGTGAAGATCCCAGAGAAGATTTCTTCTCGGACACCTGGGGTCTTGTTAAAAATGTAAATATTTATTCAGTCCATCTGGATGGAAAGGCAAATTCTCAGCAGGAGGCTGAATCACAATGAACGGGTTCATTCAAAGCCCTGATAGAACTGCAGAATCTCAGGTGGTTTGACTTGTTCCTAAGCCCGGAGACTCAGGCCAGCAGCCTGCAGTGGGGGTGGGCACAGGGGCTGCTTCCCCATTCTCCCTCTTTCACCAGTCCTCCCTGGCCCTCCCCCTTCTTCACCCCCTCCCCATCCTCCCAGGCCCTCCCCTTCCCCCCATCACTAGCTGCTGCTCAGACTGTGGCAGGCTCGTCCAGAGGGGGCTCGGCAGCAGGGGTGGTCCTATTTCGGTGCCCTCTGACTCTGTGGACGCCCTCTCTGACTGGGTGCTTCAGTCCTTCCAGAATGTCTCTCCCAGTGAAGGGGGGGTTGCCCACCCACAGTGCTCTTGACACAGGAGATGCAACCTCTGGCTGGCTGATTCCCGGCTTTGGGCGGTACACCCATCCTCCTGGGGTCACCTCACCTCTCAGGTAATTTTTTTTGAGATAACCCAGGGCCATTTCAGATCTGCTCCACAGGGTACACACACCTCCACTTCCCCAGCCGTCCTTGGTAGTGCAGCTGGGTCCCAGGGCAGCAGGCAGGATGGCTCTGGCCTCAGCTGCCTGAATGTCTGGGCCTGTGACACCTGCCACACTCTAACTCCCTGTGGTCTCCGTATTGCAGGGGACAGTGCTCAGCTCACTGGCACCCCTCCTCTCTCAGGTCACTATGATGGAGAAGCTCTTGTGTCCCACATCCTGTGGGAAAGGGGCAATTCTCCAGGCACTAAGCCTGCTCTCTCTAAGCCAGTAACCCAGCTACTGTTGAGTCAGCTCCGACCCCTGGCATCCCCTGTGTGTCAGAGTAGAACTGTGCCCCGTGGAGTTGCCATTGGCTGAATTTTTGGAAGTAGATCACCAGGCCTTTCTTCCTGGGTGCCCCTTCGTGAGTCAAACTTCCAACTCTGCTAGAAACTGAGCTACTGAACCAGGGGGCTCCCCTTTCTCCAAAGAGACCCTCAGTCCTGAGCTCCTTAACCTGGGGACAGCCGGCTCACTTCTAAGCCGGTGGGAGCTGGCGAATAGGTTAACGTGGGCCCGGGTTTGGAGCAGCCCTTTTAGGTCCTGCGTGTTGTTGAGCACCGGATGACACCTGCTGTTTTCTTCTCAGCCTTTGAAGAGAGAGAGAGAGACAACATCCCATTTTGGCATCCTGTTATGATAACAAAGCCTACTTTGCAGATTCGCCCTGCTGGGGACATGTTACTGGGTGTGCTGCTCTCATGAATGTCTCAGTGAGTCAGGTTAGGAGAGCTCTGGTGGCACAGTGGTGAAGTGCTCAGCTGCTGACTGAAAGGATGGCAGTTTGAACCCACCAGCAACTCCACGGAGAAAAGACCTGCAAAGATGACAGCCTGGGAAAGCCCGTGAGGCACTTCTACTTTGCCACATGGGGTCACGAGGCGGCAGCCACCTGACAGCACCCAACAACACGTATGAGCCAGTCTGTGAGAAAGGTAGAAGATGGGACATCCAAAGGGGAAAAAGGCATGGCCCCTGTCCATGAACAGCTCTCGGTTTGTTGGGACAGAATAGGGCTGACTGAGGAGACAGCACACCCCGGCTAGAGCACTTAGTGGAAGAGGTCACGGCTGGTGTTGGGATGTTGAGCGCAGCCAGTGGCTCGTGTTTGGATCAGACTGGGAGAGTGCGTGCCCAGAGCCCAGAGCCCAGAGCCCAGAGCCCAGAGCCCAGAGCCCAGAGCCGGGCCTTGCCAGAGCTGGGCTCCAAGCTCCTGCCCCAACTCGTGCTCTTCCTCATTGACCACAGATTGCCCGTGAAGTCATGTGGAGCTGTGTTGCCCACCGCCAGATGGGACGGGCAGACCTGTGTGTGCAGCTGGGCGGCCATGAACCCATCCCAAATGCTTTCTTTGCAAAGGTCAAGAGGGTCACGGTACACCCAGCTCCCAGGCTTTGGTGACCCAAAGGTTAGGAGGTGAAAGGAGCATGTCACATGAAGGTCCAGAGTGACTTTCAGAAGCAGGAAGGAAAGCATTAAGAAAGGAAAGAGAAAAATTCTCTCATAAGCCCAGTCATTCATCTGAGTCAACTTCCTCCTGAGCTGAAAGAGACCAAGAAGGGCGGGAAGTTGAGGTCGGTGATCGCAAATGGAAGCCGTAAGACCTCGCTGTGACAGCCCTGCCCCCAGAAGCCCCTCCCAAAGGCAGCAGTGTGTCGGGAGCGGGGGTCGTCCAGGTGCTCCCTGAAGCTGAAGAGATGGGGACAGTGGACAGCGCCTCCCGGATCAATCAAAGCCTAGACCTGAGAGCGTAAAATCCCCTGAGAAGCTATTACAACACAGACTTCTGTTCCCAAACTTTCATTTTACTGTGATAAAATACATAAGCATGTGGCTTCCCATTTTCATCATTCTTCAGTGTACGATTCAGTGGTGTTTGTTCACTCCCAATGTTGTGCAACCATCCAAATGTCCAAAGCTTTCTCACTTCCCCCGACTTTGTGTCCGTAAGCAGATTTCCCTGTTCCCCTCCCCCTGCTGCTGGTGGCCACTGATAGACTTTGGCTCCATGCATTTGCCATTTCCTAGAAGTGGGGGAAAAAAAAAAAAAACTCACTACCGTTGAGTTGATTCGACTTATAGTGACCCGTCCTTGGGTTGCTGAGGCAGTATCACTA